AATTGCCTCGGCTTCCGTGCTGAGGGAGAAGGTGAGTTCTGTGGGTGAGCTTGGCTTTAGTAGTGGCCGGGCTGTTATTGTCGTCGTCATCGGAATCTGGAAGACGCATGTGCCGATGTGCGCGGTGCGGGATGCTGCTTAGCTCGTCGCCTTGCTCTCTTGACACGCAGCCGCCGCCACCAACATTCTCGTTGTGGAGGTTGGGTGTTCCCGAGGAGGGCACGGTGTCGTCGGAGGGGTGTGGGCTGGTAGTGCTATCCCGGGAAGTGACCCAGTGGATTACGGCGGCACTAAAGAGAACTAGATACACGCACAAGCGGGAGTTGTTAGTTAGTAATGGGTTTGCAAGGGGCAGGACACGCACTGTCGCTGTTGCAACACATCAGGCACACCCAGCCTGGCTCGCCATTCAGGCCGACTAGAACAGACAAGTTGCTACTCGAGCGTCAGCTGCATTCCAAGGGGCGTGGACGTTTGGCGTACACGATGCTGCTGGCCAGGGTGCAGATGCAACCGATGAACGTCCTCGTGGCCATGGTCTTGAGCCTTCGACTGCCGGGAGCCCGATCGAAGTTCTTGTAAGAGTAGAGACCTGCGAGGCTTTAGCAAATTGTTCAATTACTTTGGCCTAGAACAACAAACTTGAGAGCGGTTTCAGAAAGATGATGGTCAGGTAGACCTGGGACGGTTAGCGAGCAGAATACCGAGTTCAGCGCGGCAACCCACGTTGACGAGAAGGTCAAAGACTATTAGAGGTATCATGGCCGGTCTCTGCATGCCAATGATGCACTCTCCATTCTCTACTCGCGCGAAGCGTCTGGCAATTTTACTTGTGTGAGACTTGTGGCAATATCAAGGCAGCGGCTGCGGACTTACAAGACAAAGTTTGGCACGACCACCAAGCAGTATGCCCCTGGTGGTGGTTAGCGAGCTTTAACGGAGAAAAGGAAACGCCTAGGCTCTTACCAATCATCCCGAATGAGTTGAAGATGTAAAGTTTGGATTTGAGTCTTGGCTTCTTGTTACTCGATCGTATTATGTACTGGTGGGCATCAGCTGAGCAGTTCCAGCGGCAAAGGCTTTGTACCTTACCGCCTTTTCGACCAAGAACAAGTATATCAGCTATTGGGGTGTCAGCCATGCTTTTCACAAACTTGGTTGCTGCACCTCGAGCAGGAGTACTCACGATCTATAAGCGGGAACTGTCAGTAACTTCCCTACAGACCAACCCAAGAGAAGAACGAACTTACCTTGGTTGTCACATAGCATATTAGACAGAGCAAGATGGCGGTCTCGCAAGCTGCATTCGAGTACCCGGCGCCAAAACCAAACTGAAGTATAGCCGTGGCGAGGACGAACATGAAGGAGTCGGTGTAGATGGCGAAGACGACTGAAGAACTCGACTTCATCAGTATAGAACACTCTAGCATACAAGAGCGAAAGATGACGCACGCCATTGCACAAAAGGAAGCTGTTTCCAGGTTTTGACTGCGAGATATCTTTGGGCTAAGCGCCGTCACCGTCCCCGGTTAGCGAACCCGGACCTGTGGACGGTTTCGGGGGTAGGTTGCCACCTCACTCGTAAAGGCAGAGAGAGCCGAGATGGACAGCATTGATAGCGCAACACTGACCACCAAGCCCGAGAGTGGTTCGCTGCTTCCGCGGGTTGGTTCATGTCGTGGGCTGAGAGGAGAAAGACTCGGGGCCATAGCTGTCAAGCCCTCGTGAGGCTAAGGAGGAAAGAGAAAGAGAGTGAGGCCAATGAATGACGGACTTAGGAATGATCTACAGCCGGCCTTGAAGCAATCTTGCAGATGAAAACGTGGAAGAAGCGCAGGATAGATGTTTAGAAGGTCTGTTTTCTACAACCCAGGATCCCATTTTCGGCCGCCCTGGTCACCGAGCGGTGTGCCCGAACCCGAATACACACATCGCACGCCGGGCACACGAGGCCCGGGAATTTCCCAACATCGTACAGGCCAGGGAAAGACGCAAACTTGCAGTTGAGCTGAACTAAAGTGGACGGGAGGCGGCAGGCCAAGTCCAATCTTGCTATCCGAGTCCCAGACACGGAAATTTTCTGGGCCAAATGAAGGGCGCCGGGCAAGTAAACCGACGCCATTCAGCTGCAAGCTACCGGAAGTCGTCGTTTGCTAGCCTGTCCTCCCCTGCTTGGCACCTCGACCAAACACTCGCTGGCACAAATCAAACTGCTCTAGTCTAGAGGATTGTTTTCCCCGGGCTTGTTAGAGAAGATACGACGGGGGCATGACTTTATTGTTTCGGGAATTTGTTTGCGGTTTGGCTCTGGACGAACAGAACGATGAGAAAACCAGAAGGCCAGAACACGCCTGGGGTACAGGTAACCAGTTAGCCCAGCTAGCGTACTGTGAGGCATCGGTGTGGCTTGATCTGGAGGGGAATATTCGTCCATGGTTTCTTATTCCTGTCTCTCCCTTGCGTTCTCGGCAGCGTTGCTTTCCGAGACAACGGGATGCGCCAGCAGCAGGGAGGCGCTGTTTCTCGATGGCGCTATGCACTGCGAGAGTGCCAAAGGAAACTAGCGCTTGTATTGGGCGAGAGATATGATAGATCGGATCTGCGACGAGCCAACCCCGCCCAAGCCACGCATCGTAAAGCATCGCCGCGTTCTCATTGAGGTGCCATGCGTATGCGTTCGTCTTGGAAAAATTGGGAACCCTGCGGCCTGTGAGAGGTTGGGAGTTGGAGCTTGCAGGCTGGCCTCGAATCAGGAGCCCGAGGCTGACGGGACAATAGATGCAAATGCACTGATGCACGGTTGCTTTTTGTGATGAACCGGGGAAAGGACACTTCCGGTGGTCAGAAGATCATTTTCGTGCCACTCATGGAGAGCATTTGCAGAAAGAGAAAGAATGAGGTGCCATGACGGTGTCAACATGCAGTGTCATGGCCTTGCAAACGGCAAGAGGGCAGGAAGAAGCACCTCAGAGCCGGAAGCACCCGGGTGCAATCCAAACGGGTTTAGCGGCCATCACACCATCCAGGGCCCCTTGTCACACCCCAGCGCCGATCAGTCCGGGGTTCTCTTGGCATATCGCATCGCCCCAGTGCACCCCCACTGCCCCGGTTCACAGCGCAAGAGATCTGCCATGCCGCGGTGGGCCTCAATGCATCAACGGATGGACTGGACTGCAAGGCTGGTACCGAGCTCCGGGTTTTCCATCATGCTAAGAACTTAACACTTACTTTTATGCCCAGCGGTTAAAATATGAATGGGACTCTACACTTTCAGTTTCATCAAAGGTTTCACCCCGGTACGCTGTCGAGTGCACATTTTTGGCAGCATTCAAAGTCGGGGTTGAGCAAGCAAGGGTCTGCTGCCTGAACATGGGAGTACGGACGTATCACAACCTTATTTACTTTTTCCCGGCCTGTCTTACGGTAATAACTGGGTACGGTAAAGTGTTGGTTTGCTTGTGGCACCCCGGAAGTTCCAATGCTTCCATCGGCCGCACCAGAAACATGTCACCACCGGGGACAGCAGGGTCATCCATGACTTTGCGCGAGACGGACTCTTGGATTATTATATACACATGTTTCTATGCTTCGCGCGGTGGTTAACAACATCTGCTCTTGTTTGTTCTTTCAACGACAGCTCGATATCAACTTCCTCGGATACCCCAGCCCAGCCGCCGATCCCTGAGTAAATAACCTACAATAAAACTAAATTACATCCCTTAAATGACGTATACATTCTGGTGTTAATGTTAAACCTCCAACATGAACAAACACAAAAGAATCACAAACCACCCCCAACCCTCTCAAAAAGTCCCACCATGTAAATGCTGTGCCGACACCCAAACCACCGCAAACCGAGCCGTACCGAACCGAACCGAGCCGAACCAAGCCAAATGCCGAGCCAAACCGCAAGGAACGAAACACTAGCCAGCCTCCTAAAACGCCAGCGTCTAGACCAGACGGTACATTAAGCTTTCTGGGCCGTAGCCTCACCGTCCGAGCCCACAATTCCTTCCCAAACGCCAAAGCCCCAAATAATACCAACCAGCAGCATTAACCATTCATCCATTGCATTTCTTTCGTTCGTCTCTTCCATCCAGTGTGCCAGAAAGCCGGAAACCGGGCCGGGTTTTGTGTGTGTAAAGTAAAGTAAAGTAACGGGTATCTCAAATAGTGGAAAGTCGAAAAAAAAGATGAAAATAAAATAAAAGGTAGTTAAGAGGGCGAAGGCCGCATGGTTGGCGGGGTTAGTTCGTTTGGGATCCCGCTCTTTCGCTCGTCGCCGTTTCCGTTCCCGTTCCCGATGCCGCACCCTCTCCCGTCGTTACAGCCTCTCTGGCCGTTGGCGTTGTGGCGGTGGCGGTGGCGCTGGTGCCTGTCGACCCGCGCTGCTGCTGCTGCTGCTGTTGCGACCGGTGCCGCCGTAGGATGTCGATGCGTTCTTCGATGGAGGCGTGGCGTAGGCGGTGGACGTCGAGGAAGCGCAGGGAACGCCTGCGTTGTCCCGTGGTAGTGGTGGTGGCGCTGGCGGTATCGTGCTCGTCGCGGTTTGCGGTTGCTGTGGTGGGCGAGGGGGGGGCTGAGGAGCTGCTGTGATTGGGGTTATGGGCCCGGCGGCTTTGTGGGTGTAGGTCGAGGCGGCTGTGGATGGGGGAGACATATTTGTTAGCGGTCGGGAGGAAGGTGAGGTGAGTGAGGGTGGGTGGAGGAGGGTTTACCATAGGGGGCAGGTTCCCGAGATGTTGACCAGCCAGGGGTCGATGCAGGGTGGGTGGAACTTGTGGTCGCATGGCAGAACCCGGACGTCCTCGCCGACGGTGAAGTCTTCGGTGCAGATGGAGCAACCGGGGCGGTCCTCCATCGCATTTTCAGCGGGTTTGCTGCCATCTTTCTCCGCCTCGCCCGTTGTGGGATCGTTCGCCTCTATCTTGGGCTGGGGTATTGCGCCCGACATCGGCGCGGCGCTTCGCCGGGCCTGCGGCGTCCGCGGCTCCTCCGGAATTGCCGATAACCTTGTTCCCATGGCCGGATCCGGAGCGGTTGCTGACGGCTGAGACTCGAGTTCGAGAGACGGATCGGGTTTTGGCGGGCCAGGGTCACCGAATTTCACGATCGGTAGTGTCTCTAGCACGGCCCGAGCGAGCCCCTTTGCCCTACTCTGCGAAGGCCGCCCACCAAAGCCCGACAGGGGGCCATACCGCTCGGGGTAACGGTGCGCTCGAATCGCCCCTGTCCCGATGATGACCAAAAAGAGCAACGTGATAAGACCCGTGATGCTGTAGAGGATGCTCATGGCGACCGCCGAGTTGTTCCCCCTCTCCCCCGGGGTTTCAGGCTCCGTTGTGGTCATGTTCTCGCCACCCGTGATCGTCGCACGCAAAGCCCCGCCGGCTTGGATGGTGTTGTTCATGGTATCCCGTGCCTCGATTGGGTCGCCCATGGTGTAAATGGAGTTGTAGATTAGATCATCGCCCTCGAGGCTGCACGATGCTCCGCCCTCGCTATAGAGCAAAATCGCTAGGGGTTGGTCACCCATGACTTGGTTAACCATTTCGGTCGCGTTCTCGTCATCACAGTTGAAAAACACAATCGTTTCCTCCTTCATCAAGTCGGTATCACCCAAGACTTCGGCGGGGACCAAGCTCCCGCGGATCCAGATAGACTGCCGGCGTATTAGCGATGACAATTTCCCATTGTGACCAGAAGAAGAGAAGGCGAGGCTCACACTTCTGTCGCTCCGGTTCAGCCCTGCGGATTCTGTTAACGGGTAAACGCTATAAGTGATTCGCAAGGCCTCTGTCTCTGGAGCGGTGAGTTGGAGGTGCATGAGTGAGTTCAACTCCGATTCGGTCACTTCGGAGGCCGGTGCTATCCTCGCGTCCTCGGCGCGGACCCCGGAAGCGACTGAGAGGAGGGATACGAGGAACAAGCACCCGAGCAAAGCCATCTTTCCCATCGCCGGCGACGGTCGACGTCGCTGCGAAATTAGAGGCAGGATGGCGAGGGTATGTTTCCTCGACGATTTTAGGTCGGGGCGGAGATGATTCCAGTGGAGTGCCAGTTAAAGTGGGTGGTGGAGGAAAAGACAAAAATGAGGGCCGGGGCAAGGGTTGTTTGGTAAACCAGACTTCACATCATGCGTCGACTTGCCGGGCAAGACTCCATGCTGCGGCTTGCTTGGTGGCGCTCGTCCTTGGTTTCTTTCGATTCCTGATCGCCGGGGTAAGGAGCATGCTAAGAGAGGGGTGACTCGGATGATAGATCCGGTTGATCGGCCAGAACAAAGGCGCGCGTGGCCGAGACCGTCGGAACGGAACAGGTCGAGTCAGGGTGGCAAGTAGAGGAATGCAGAATGGGGAAAGGAAAGGTATCCGTAATATCGTTATTTTGCTGGCGGGATACTGCTGTCGACTCAACTGCGTATCGAAAAGAAACCGAATCCGCGTTCGCCGGATATTCCGGATGACACAGCCCATTCACAATCCAACAAACATATGCGCGCCCTGCCGCGTTGTAGGCATAAACTAAGCTGGAAGTTCTCAGATCGCAGAAAAGTGTGGGGAAATGGAGTATGGTATGGTATGCATGCTAAGGAGGAAAAGCTGGCTAAGAACGGGGTGTGGTGGATCGGTGGACAGAGCGTTTGGAATATGTTTTAGTGCCTGTGAGTGCTTAAAGCATTCATGGAATACGTAAGATTATGGAGTACGAATAAGCCCTGTGTCCGAGCGCTCCGGGTTGCATCATAAGTGAAAGCGGCATGCGGGGTATTGACGTGAGCGCCTCAAGAAGTAATCCGGGCAATCCTGTTGATTGCATCATCATCGCATCGTCGTCCGAATGACTAGTGTATATTATCGGATGATGCCGAGATCTGGTCGGTGTGGTAAACATGACGAGACCTTATTTCCTCCGTAGCTGTGGGCGGAATAGATAGTGGCCACAAACTGTGCAAAGTCGGAGTAAGTACGGATACTTACACAGGAGGTGGAGAGACTGTGAGCTTCCCCAACGTTCGCTCAGCTGAGGCTCTTCATTAGTGGGGCTTCGTTGCATTTCCCGGGTTCGGCTCGCTGTTCGCAATTGACAGCTGTCTTGTGACAACGGCTCAGCAGAGCACCCCGTTTCGGTTCGGAGATTTTCTCGGGACGCCCGGCAGCCGAGCTCAGGGATCGCCCCTCGACGTCTCAGATGCTGAGTGAACGTAGCTCGCCGGGTTGCTGACAGGGAGCTTCAGGAGCTTGCACTCTCTGGCCAAAAAGGCCGAACTCCAAGTGTAGGTGCCGCCGAAACCTTCGACTAGAGGAACGAAAAACAGCCATTTGGAATCCCAAAGTCGGCTTTTTATTGGACTCGGTTTCTTTTATTTAATTTATTTTGCTCGGTTTTCTTTACCTCTTCTTTTCTTGATTTCTTTTATCCTTTCTCTTTTCTCGCTTTTCGAGTTCGGCTTTTTTTAACCAAAGTGTGAGCCAATTGGTAGCTTTCCCTGCTCTGTCATTTCCTGTTGACAAATCACCCTGGAAGCCTGAGAAGAGAGTGGGAAAAGCCATTTGGTAACGGAGAGAAGAGTTCAAGTTGCGATACCTGTCATCAAACGGCTTGGCTGGTTTGAACGTGGGTTGGATATGCAGTGCGAGCTCCAACTCATGATGGAGCTGTCAGGGGTAACGAATCGTGCCCGATAGCGTAGTATTGGCGAGAAACGGGACATCACACAGGGGGTGTTACAGCACCACATCCTTGCGACAGCACCAGCAACTGCGGCGGCTAAATAAAAGTTACGGTCGATGTGCACATTTGTTTGTATTCTCCGAGGCCTGATGTCTGTCGAAACCATGCACTGTGGAGGAAGCGGTTGTCCCACTAACTACCCCTGGATGCGGCCAAGCTGGCGTCGCTTGTCGGACAACATAAATAAAGAAAAGGGGGTACCACTTTCAACGAGGTGGAATTTTGCAACTGTCGGGTTCGAGTTACTCCTCAGATGGATATCAAGCGGCTGGTTATTGAACTATTGTGCCCAAGCTTACCGTGTATGTACAGGTCGATATGAGAGCAGTCAAATATGCAGGGACGAGACACAAAGGGAGGACGCGGAGCATCGAACGCTGTGGCAGCCGACAACGTGGGAACCTGAGTGACGCCTCGCGTTATCGCGGCTGCATTGCGCGGGAAGCTATATAGACGCCGGCTGCTCAAATCTCCTCCATGTCTTCGAGGTCATCTAGTGCTGGGAAGTCGCCAACCTCAACCCGATCCGGACGGACGAACACGCCATGCTTGAGTTGCGATTCCTCGCCCCAGTAGCGAGAACCACCAATGCTCCCATCGTTCTTGCCAACCGGCTCATCCAGCTGGATGCCGACCCATGCACCCGGGCCAGGGATTTCCTTCACATCGCCCACATACTTGATTTCTCCTCGTCGAGAATCGTCGTCGCCAATCTGGCATCGCTTCCCGACGGCGATCCCTCGGACTTCGATTTCTTGAGCAATGGCGGATATCTTTGCTTGCTCATGGCTCGCAGCGTTAGGATCGAAGCGCCCCAGCTTCTCCGTTTTCTTCCATGCCAGGACAGAATCCGTCTTCTTTTCATATTCTTCTTCGGGTAACACGTACTTCTCAACACCAGCCGTGCTTGAGAAATTGGGTCTTGCAGAGGCGGGTCTCGTGTCGCCGACCTGTTATATCTCATTAGTTTCCCACTTTTCGCTAGATCCACCTGATCTCCTAGAGCGGGGACCCAGTGATGTGCCCAGGGTTAAAGTCAAGATGCACGAACCAGCAACTCGGCATAAGGAGCGAGGGGAAATTGTTGTAGATAAACAGACTCCTCGTCTGGAGCCTCGACCGCAATTTTTTCGCCGGATGACGTCTTGAGAGAGATCTGCTGGCAAGAGGGAGGGATGCCGGTGATGGTTTCAAGCTTGGTCTTGAGCTGCGAGATGGACCAAGCTGGAGTGATCCGTCTCTCGGACGAGGTGTAGTCTGAGACAACGTAGAGAGGAACGTCCGCCATAGTGAAAGCTCGAGGTTTCCGCGGGTATTAGATTGGTGTTTTCTGGTTGTTCTCGTTTTTTGTTGTTATTTTTTTATGAGACGTAAATTGTGAAGACTGGGCGCAAGATGTAGCACGTCGTAGATCGAGTGAATTAGTCAACTGAGAGAAAAGAGTCGAAGGTAGCCGGCCCTTGCTTGCCAGAACTGCCCTTCTCGCGATTTTGCACGATGGGTGAGGAAATAATTACGTATTCACCACATAAATACGCTCAACACTCCAATAGTAATTTGAAGGTAGAAATCCAAATGTAAGCGTTTTGTTGACAAGATGGCCTTCTGGGGGTTTCTTCTCATCGCAACTGCCTGATCTGCCCTTGTGGGGTCGGATGATTGTGGAGAAGAGGTTACGCCACATTTGCAATCTGACAGCCACAGCACAACGCTGCGATCCCGGAAAGTGGCTGTGCTAGCTAGCGACGCCTTCCATTTTTGGACTTGCAACTGAATTTCATAAACCCTGCCTTCAGTCCTGGGTAACTGTTTTCATTTTTCCCCTTTTGCCATTTTCAATTTTTTCTCGGTCGTGGCAAAGCTCGCAAGGATTAATTTTCTAACTAATACAATGCATATTGCAACAAAGCTGACCCTTGCGGCCTCCAGCCGCCAACACACAATCCGGCGCCCCGGCACGGGAACCGACATGACTCGAATGTTCTCCCGAGAAGCTTCCAATCATCCCGGCCCTGCCCGTTTGCAGCCTCACCAGGCACTGTTTTATTTGAGATGATCTCAGCACCATCGGCCTGGAGCATCTCGGCATCGATGCGGTCAGACCCCAGATCCCGCCGCAAGCTCAAAAGTCAAACGGCCTTGCAGATCTCTATTGGCTGAGCCCGCAACAATGATGCTGGATTTGTCCACGCGTCCGACGGCCTCCCGTCGCTAACTATCGATGCCCGAAACCGAGGCGGAGACTACCAATGGGTAAGAGCGGTCCATGCTCGTTTTGAACCCCATACAAACGGAACGGCTGGACAATGGATGGATGCAGCGCACGCCTGACAAGTCATCCTTTGCCTCGCTCTTGGCCTGCGAACTGACAATTGAGGCGGCCGCGAGAGACATTGTACCCGAGAGAAGCATAACATTGTTCTGCCTGTCCGCTAACACCCCCTTCCTCCGTTCCCCTCGGCAAGGTCTACCCCTACCCGAGTCACCGCTCTGCCGTGCATGCAATTGACCGCCTGGAAAGCCCTCACCCACAATGTCGTAGTGGAAAAGGGGGCTTCGAATCCCATCGTCACTCAGTTAGCCACGCATGTTTGTCACGCATGACAGGGACATGGGCTCGAAACAAGTGTCAGGCCGGAGACGACATGCACACTTGCCACCCAAGATCTGTTCCTGTACCATTCACCGCCACGTTGGGTTACTCAACGAGATCTTGTGACGTTGTTGACAGATGTTCTGACATGGGCGGGAACATGACATGATGGCCAGGGGACCACAGATCGAAACCTGCTGGGCGTGTCTCTATCTCGAGTTACATACAACGAGTGTTCCTCATCGGTTTCGGAGGCGCCGGAAAGAGGATGTATGCACGAAGTCCTATCCCTTTTCTTCTCCCACACGTGGTTTTGAAACCATGTTACCGGCCCGCCACAACCTGGAGCAACAGCGTAGTTGGTCCACAGGGCATCGAACGGATGCTGCCGCCAAGCCGAATGCAGCCGCCAAGCCAACCAGCACTTTGCCCACAAACTAGGCCGAAGACGAGCAGCGATGAGCATTCGTCTTGGCTCGAGCGCGCCTGGTTTCTCAACCACCAATAACCTCAGCGGGGGGTAAAGCGATCGGACCGCCTTGATCTGGCGATGGCAGGAACGGTTCCCATAGGCTCAAAGGTGCCCTGACAGAGGGCGAAAACGTCGACGTACATACATACATGAGGTTCGTCTCACTTGACTTGGCAGCTGCTAAACTTGACGAACGGCCCATGGTCGAACAGGACGCGCCAAACCTACACCCTCTGCAGTGTTAAATGCATAAAGGTTAGCGAACGTCACCGTGGGTCATAAAACAGCCAACAATGAGAAACCCTCACCCCCGCCCGTTTGCTCAGGGCTCGGTCCAAGCGGTCTCCAGGTTCATCGGACGGCTTCTTGCCGCTATCCCTGTCGCGGATCGCCCTACCATCCCCACCTCGGCGTCCTGTTGACTGTGTCGGGCCAGATGAGGTCATGGAGTCCACGTATTCACGAGAACCGTATCGAGGGCGTTGGGTGACAGCGCAGAACCAGCAACCGCCAGTCCCATGCTGTGGCTCAGTCCCACCCTGGAAGGCGGTCTCGCCGCTCATGCGAGCCCCCACGGCGGTATTAGTTAGGGGAGGCTGAGTATGTTCGGCCAGCTCTATCTTGACCATCCTGACCAGCGTCCAATTGGCATTGGGTTGTTTGATGCCCTTGATGGGCCCGATGGTCCGTGAGCCGAGACAAGCATCTCAACCGAGGAACCATGAAGTGAAAAGTCCTGGTTCAACGAGCGAGTGGAGCACTCCCGCCGGGGAATTCTCGAACGCAAGGACCCAAAAACGGAAACGCGATCATGATCGCCTTGCCGGCATGCTACCATAATAACCCCGATCCTCCCTGATGCGGGGAAGAAATCCATGCAAGCTGACCGCCAGTTGCCTGTTCGTCGGCAGAAAGAAATCTGGCTGGTCTGGGCCATTTCGTCGCTCGAGAAGAACTGGCCCGGTTGGGGTTCCTCGACTGCGTAAACGCTAACAATTCATTATGTGGTTATTCTTTGTTCATCCATCGTCGTCTAGGCGAGCAGCATGTGACAAAAGGATTGTGTGATCCGGCGCTGGTTCCGGAGCCGCACAGACATCGCACCAAGCTTTCAAGCTCGGCAAACAGCTCCTGGGGTTCTCGCGGCGGCTGGGCTCAACTCCGATTCTTTGCTGCACCGGCATCTCACCCCTGCCACTTCCGCTGCTGGAGAGAGAGGGGCCAAGTTGGGTCGATGTTACGATGTTAGGGCATTTGCCCCCGTTGGTCCATGCAAGTAATGCGTCGAGCACCTCTCTGGCCCCTCTTGCACAGCTTGACAGGGGTCGATCGCATTGAGGAGAGGGAGGAGAGACACGTTCATGTCCTTTTCTGCGCACGGGGGTTCGAAAAGCAAGCAGAGATCTCCCAACGTGCCATCGCCAGATCGGGTAGGCGGCTAGGATCCTGGTGATGGCGCAGGGTTGAGATCTCAAACCCGATTTGTGACCCAGCCGACGGTGTGAGCCGAAGGATGTCTGTTTCTGGGTGCAGATTTGGATGCGGATCGAAGCGAGCGTCTTCATCCCGCTCTTTCTATCCAGACCCCAGCACGAGCCTCTCCGACCATCGCCTCTAACCTTCTTGACTGCATTGTTCGCCCGCCAAACTTAGCCCTTCTTGTTTCTGATCGATGCCAATTATGGCCTTGCAACCGCCCAACAACAGTGCCCGGGCCTGAACAGCATAACACCCACCGTTAGGGAAAACAACCAGGCCGCCGAGTTACCAAGGCCAAGAAGGGTCTCAAATGAGGCATGGACCAAGAGTTGGTTTGGCCCCGTTCACCGTTCGCAAATCCCCCCTCCCGCCAGTGGCGGTTTCGAACTCATGGGGCAACTCTTCTTTTCATTTTTGGCCACCCGTGGCCGCTCATTTCGTTCTTGCAAGAGGTTGGGTTTCGTGACTCGGACTTTCGCCGCCAGACCCAACGAGGATCATGCCAGGATAATGTTGGGGCAATGCAGATGTTTAGCGTTGACTTGGCCAACGCCTTGCCATTCTTCGACACCACCCAGTTCTTCCTGCGGCAGGTACCGTCCATTCCCAACCTCCAAGGTGGCGCACGACAGGCCACCGATTGCCCTTACTACTTGTGGAGGAAGTAGAGAATACAAGCCGGTCGAGCCCAACGGCAGTCAGCCACCCCGGATTGCAACCCGATCCTCTTGCAGGGTCCTTCTTTCGGCGTTGAGGGCGTCAGTCTACCTCTATTTTCCGATCATGGATCCACCAATCCATCAGGCTCAAGAGGATGATACAATCACCCCGTAGCCACCATGTATCCTCCCGGCCGGCATCTGCCAATCTGGGCGTTTGACTCGACGCTGTTATCGCCTCCAGAGTTCCCCATGTCCCTGGACGCCTCGCGTCAGATCACACAAATATCGTAAGGAACGTCACAAGTAATCCCAGTGCTTCTTCGCAAAACCGGTACCTAGCCACCGCGGAACACGTTGTCTAGGCAGTGCAGTTCGTGTGGCAGTGAACGGCTGGGCCGGATCGGCGAACGGGAAGTTTTCGTCTTTCCCATCTCCGCAACGAACACGCCGCGTGGGAAGGCCAATGCTGGTATCAGCATTGGGATCTTGGCCTACCAGAACCCTCGGACGTTCGCGGGAGCCGTCTTGTTGCTTACGAGCCATGATGGTTGCCTTCCCGGGACATCACTCGTCTCCCACATCATCTTTGTCCAACAAAAAAAAAAAAAAAAAAAAAAAAAGAAAAAAAACCAAGCGTTTGGCCGGCATGGGGGGCCGCTGCATTGTACATCCGGGCCCCTGGTAATGCTACCAGTCACCAGTTACTAGGTACCGAAGCCCTATGCAAGCTCGGGGCCCCATTGCCTAGCACGGCTTGCTACATCCAAGCCCTGAACCCTCCGCACATCTACTTTGTTCTGTTTGCGCTCCACAATTCGTTAGTACACCCGGTCCTTGCTTCGCACCCCTCCCGGTATACGCAGTAAGTCCTCTGCCGTTTCCATCTCTCTATGGCATGCAACTAGTGCTGCACACTCCCGTTCTGAGGTCTTCATCTTTGAGTCTTTCCTTCTCCTGGTTGTATCCAGCTTCGTGTTCCCTCGATCCTGGTTCAGTCCCCCACACCTCCTCACCACCCCGACAGGCACGGCGTCATCGAGATATCCAGGACTTTTCCGTTTCAAGGTTCATCCCTGCTGCTCGCCTCTTTCCCCGGGTTGGCCGTTATGGAGAGGAAGGAAACAACTCCCCTCAAGCCGTAAGATTCCGTCAACTTCGCCTGGCCGACGTCTCCATCCGCGAGGACCCCTTGTCTCCATTGCCTGCTTTTCTTCTTGCCGATATTATCACGTTCATTGGTGGGTGTCGGGCAATCAAAGGACCAATCATCATGTTAAGCACCCCAGATACGCGGGCGACGGTTTCTTAAGGAAAGCTACAAGTCCAGTAGACCCATCCAAAAGGGACCCTCGTTCCTTCTTCTGGACAGACAGGCCCCATTTCAGCACTGTCCGCCCTCGAACGCCTGTCTGTGGCTCCCAGGGATCACGGACCCCGTTTCCAGTTATCTCATTGCAACTTCCTCCAGCCACCTTTCCCTTTCCCTTGGAGCTCGACTCGGAAAACAACACTTGATCGACCCTACACATCTGACACCTCGCCTCACTGGGACAGTTAGTACGTGACTCGTGCGCATCGATCGGTTGACCCAGGGTCACTTACCATATTCAGACGAACGACTAGACACGAGCTTAAATTCTTGACCTTTCCACATAGATTGAGCAGGACACCAGTTTTCAACATCCCCGAAACACCATCTAACCTCCTGCGCGGCACAGGGCAATAGCTCTCCACTAAGACGCACCATCTGCTTTGCACATGACATCTCTGCCCTTCTAGGCTAAACCCAGCGAGATATAGCCCATCGTGGATATCGCCTCTCTTCTCCAGGACTCCGACTCAAATGAGTCCCCCGTATCTCCTACCCAGCAACCACCATTTAGCACCGTCCCAGCATCCGCAACGTCAACGATACAATCTACAAGCGGCCCGCCCCCGGCACTTTTCGCCATAACAACGAGTCCGTTATCTCCCCGATTTGGCACGGCGGACGGGACCCGAGTCAGGGTACCGAGCATCTCGGGCCCAACACTAAGCTCAAGGAGAGCCTCACGTCCTAGGAGCGGTGGCGGGAAGCGCAGCATGCCGCCGCACACATTAGAGTCGCCTGCTAAGAAGCAGACCAAGTGGTCGTCCCAAGAGGACACCCTCATCATCGAACTCCGAGGCAGTGGAATGAAATGGGACGACATCTCGAAGAAGCTCCCCGGTCGGAGTGCTATCAGCTGCCGACTCCATTACCAGAACTACTTGGAACGCCGCAGCGAGTGGGACGAGGAACGGAAGAACAAACTCGCAAGGCTTTACGAGAGGTAAGCACCGCCAGGTCGAGCCACCGGTGCATGTACGTCCTTGAACCCCCCTGAACACCACTGACCACCCCGCCCTCCTAGGTTCAAATCCGAGATGTGGGCCAAAGTAGCCGAGGAGATGCAGCTCCCATGGCGCGCGGTCGAAGCTATGCATTGGCAACTGGGTGAAGTCGAGATGGCACGGCGGGCTGGGGTGGTTCCCTTTTCGCTAAACATAGCTTCAAACGAGGCACAAGGCCAGATGACGCAGCGAATCTCCCCGACCCGCGGCAGCCACGCTCACTCGCGATCCCAAGGCAGCATACCACGCGACTTCTCGGGCTTACCATCACCACGGTACAACCGGGGGCCCCCCGGCCCCGGCTCCGGCCCCCTCTCTGAGTCACTTCCCCGGATTGGCG